CATAAATGTCTATCAACACCTATCCTTTTATGCCGATAGATCGTGCTTTATACTGAATACATCTTAAATATCTAAAAAATAATTCATTTTGCAAATAAGTATTTAAAAAAAATTGAAATCGAATTGAAATTGTAGTAGAACAAATTACATTTTAACGTCAATAGTTTACACGTTATACATAGTTATTCTTAGATAAACTGAATAACATGTAAGAATAATTGCCGATCAATTTTTGGATTTATCATATTAATAAAACCCATTTATTTCGAGTATATCTTGTTTCGATTTTTTTCTCGCAATAAAAAATCGTTGATGATATCTGAGTTGATAAATGTGCACATATTTTTAAACAATATAAATATCGATCTTTTTCGTTACTATGAACAATATAAACCAATCTTTTGAGATTGTCTTTGACATTATTGTTTATTTAAATAAGAAGATAGCTCATCTTTCTTAAATTTGTATAGAAAAGAAAAGTTTTTTCGAGTCGTATGTAAAAAATCAATGTTAAATATTTAATTTAGTTATTTGTATATTCTTGAAAAATAATAAAATAATTCAATGACTTAGATGCAATAGAGAAGCTTGTTTTGATAGAAATAGTATTTGTTAAACTGAATTGAAAACAATCTGTTTCTCGATAAAAAAGTTATTTCCCACAAGCATAAAGTATTGAGGACAGCTAATTAAATGTCACCACTTAAACATAATCCGAAGGTATATTTTCAACTCGTTGAAGAATAACTTTGGAAAAATTAGTTCATCAAGAAAAGCAGTAATTAACTATGATTTTATTTATTTAAATTTAAGTTTTCTCGATTTGTTTCCACTTTGAAAATAATGCCAACATTTTTAATTTATCTTAAATTGGAAAAACCAAAAAAAAGATAAAATTATTAAATTAGTGGGTATTTTATGTGTTTCAAAATAAAACAGGTTGGTTCATATGAATGAACCAATACGATAAAAAGAATGAAAGACAATGATCACAATAGACCGTATAATGGTGTAAACATCGATACATATTTTATATTTTAATTTGATAGAAGTAGTAT